GTTGCTGACGTTGGAGGCGTGGTTCCCCCCGGGGCCCAATTCCGCCGCAGCGGAAATTGGGCCTCCGAAGCGGGAGATTCCCCACCCCCCAGGCCCATTTGGCAACCCTAATCCCAAAACTTATGGCATCGACCCAAACCCGGCCCTTTTCCATCATGGCTCTGTGGAAAGGGCTCCCTGAAGAGGTGGGGGGGGGGCTCTTTGGAGGCTTTCAGGAGGCACTGCAAGGTCTGCCCATTTGCCAGGGCTTTGAACGGCAGTTCAGAGGCAGTTAGCCTCTGAATCCCAGGGCCACGAGGCAACATCAGGGGAAGGCCTCGGCCTCGCTGCCCTGTTGCTGGCCCTCCAGAGGAACTGGCTGGCCCCTGTGTGAGACAGGAGGCTGGACTGGAGGGACCCTCCCTGGTCTGACCCAGCAGGGCTCTTCTGATGTTCTCCTCAGGGGAAGGCCTCGGCCTCTCTGCCCTGTTGCTGGCCCTCCAGAGGAACTGGCTGGCCCCTGTGTGAGACAGGAGGCTGGACTGGAGGGACCCTCCCTGGTCTGACCCAGCAGGGCTCTTCTGATGTTCTCCTCAGGGGAAGGCCTCGGCCTCTCTGCCCTGTTGCTGGCCCTCCAGAGGAACTGGCTGGCCCCTGTGTGAGACAGGAGGCTGGACTGGAGGGACCCTCCCTGGTCTGACCCAGCAGGGCTCTTCTGATGTTCTCCTCAGGGGAAGGCCTCGGCCTCTCTGCCCTGTTGCTGGCCCTCCAGAGGAACTGGCTGGCCCCTGTGTGAGACAGGAGGCTGGACTGGAGGGACCCTCCCTGGTCTGACCCAGCAGGGCTCTTCTGATGTTCTCCTCAGGGGAAGGCCTCGGCCTCTCTGCCCTGTTGCTGGCCCTCCAGAGGAACTGGCTGGCCCCTGTGTGAGACAGGAGGCTGGACTGGAGGGACCCTCCCTGGTCTGACCCAGCAGGGCTCTTCTGATGTTCTCCTCAGGGGAAGGCCTCGGCCTCTCTGCCCTGTTGCTGGCCCTCCAGAGGAACTGGCTGGCCCCTGTGTGAGACAGGATGCAGGACTGGATGGACCCTCACTGGTCTGACCCAGCTGGGCTCTTGTGATGTTCTTACGGAAAATGCCCAGGCTCTGGGCGATGCCAGGCAGGCTAACCCGAGTGGAGAGATAGCCAGTAGAGGACAGCTTGATGACTGTAGTTGGTGCCATCAGGGACATACAAATGGAGTGCAGTCGACAACAAAGGGTCAAAGCCCAGGTAGGCACAGAAGGTTTAAATCCAGAGGGACAAGTCTTGGCCGTCATGGAGTCCAGGAGGAGTCCGGTCTCCCTGATCCAAGGACTGTGATCTTGTACCCCTTGTGGGCCTTCATCACTGAGGGAAATGGGAGTGGTCTCTGTGACTGACAGGCAGTGTGAAGTGCCTGGATTGGTGAGGCCTGGCATAAGTACTGGGTGCCTGGCCTCCTGCCCTTGACGTTGAAGAAGAAGAGATTGGATTTATACCCCGCCCTTCACTGCCCAAAGGAGTCTCAGAGCAGCTCACAATCTTCTCTTCCCTTCTCACTGGGGGAAGGGCAGCCACTCGCAGGCCCTGAGGCACCAGTGTTGGTTCCAGTGCTGAGAGGGAGCCCTGAAATCCGGCAGCCGGCAGCCAGAGGAGGGAATCTGTCCACGGGAGACCTCCTGTCCTGCTTCGGGGAGACACCATTTTGTCGCCATTCCGCCTGGGTTAAAGTACCTCTCTGCCGCCTTCCTTCACCAGAGGGGAAACCCGACAGCGTGTGCCTTTTCACTTAGCTGGGGCCTCAGAATTTTAAACTCGCTTGGGGGGCAGGTTTATTCCCCCCTTTCTTTGGGGAGGAGGGGGGGGGCGGGATGTGCCACGACGTCCACGTTTGCTGCCCAGTAAGCCCCTGTAACGCGCTTATACGAAAAGTGTGCAAGAGAAAGAGACGACGGGCGGTGGAGCTTACGGCTTATGTCAGAAATTCAAACCTCCCTTTAAAACTCTGCTGGCTCTTATAAGATTTCAAAGGATTATCACGTGGCTCGATTCGTCGCTGTTTACCATTTTAAAAGTACGAAATGAAAGTCCGGTGGCGGCTTAAAGCCACCGGACTCCTGTTTTATTCGGTCGCCACAGAGCGAGAGCAGCGGCCGTTAAAACCACCGTTAAAACCTGTTTTATTCGGTCGCCACAGAGCGAGAGCAGCGGCCGTTAAAACCACCGTTCCCCGGTGGGCCTGCCTTTCGTCTCCAAGCCTTCCTTTTGAGACTTTTAGGGCTCTTTAGGGTCAAAGAAGGAAAATGAACTGTGTAAACCATGGGTCTCCAATGTGGGGCCCGGGGACCACGGCGGCCATTGACACCTTTCCTGACACCTGTCAGGTGTTTTTAGAAAGTGAGTGGGCCCCGGTGGGACTTCTGCCCAGAAAGGATTCTGATCACCATCTTCAAGTACTTGAAGGGCTATTCCATAATAGATGATGGGGCAGAGTTCTCTGTTGCCCCAGAAGGTCGGACCACAACCAACGAATTGAAATTAAATCAGAAGAGTTTTCGGCTAAACATTAGGAAGGACTTCCTGACAGCTAGAGCAGTTCCTCAAGGGAACAGGCTTCCTCGGGAGGTGGTGGTGGGCTCTCCTTCTCGGGAGGTTTTCAAGCAGAGGCTAGACGGCCTTCTGACAACAATGTAGATTCTGAGAACTTACGCAGATCATGAGAGGGGGGGCAGGAAGGGTTGCCTCCGTGCTTAGTTCGCGTGGTCTAGTCCAGCATCCTGCTTCACACAGTGACCAGCCAGTTCCTCTGAAGGGCCAGCAACAGGGCAGAGAGGCTGAGGCCTTCCGCTGATAAGGACATCAGAAGAGCCCTGCTGGGTCCGACCAGTGAAGGTCCCTCCAGTCCAGCCTCCTGTCTCTCAAACAGAGGCCAGCCAGTTCCGCTGGAGGGCCAGCAAGAGGGCAGAGAGGCCTGAGGAGAGCATCAGAAGAGCCCTGCTGGGTCCGACCAGTGAAGGTCCCTCCAGTCCAGCCTCCTGTCTCTCAAACAGAGGCCAGCCAGTTCCGCTGGAGGGCCAGCAAGAGGGCAGAGAGGCCTGAGGAGAGCATCAGAAGAGCCCTGCTGGGTCCGACCAGTGAAGGTCCCTCCAGTCCAGCCTCCTGTCTCTCAAACAGAGGCCAGCCAGTTCCGCTGGAGGGCCAGCAAGAGGGCAGAGAGGCCTGAGGAGAGCATCAGAAGAGCCCTGCTGGGTCAGAGCAGGGAGGGTCCCTCTAGTCCAGCCTCCTGTCTCTCAAACAGAGGCCAGCCAGTTCCGCTGGAGGGCCAGCAACAGGGCAGAGAGGCCTGAGGAGAGCATCAGAAGAGCCCTGCTGGGTCAGACCAGGGAGGGTCCCTCTAGTCCAGCATCCCGTCTCACATGGCGGCCAACCAGTTCCTCTGAAGGGCCAACAGCAAGGCGGAGAGGCCGAGGCCTTCCCCTGATGTTACCTCCTGGCACTGGGGTTCAGAGGTCGACTGCCTCTCAACACGGAGGTTCCCTTTAGTCAATGTGGTTAGTAGCCACTGACAGACCTCTCCCTCCATGCATCTGTCTAATCCCCTTTCAAAGCAGTCTTTTCCTACAACCATCCCTCCATCCTCTGGCAGTGAATTCCACATTTTAATCACTCTCTGTGTAAAAGAGTATTTCCTTTTGTCCATCCTGAACCTACGGCCCATCATTAGATGCCCTCAAGTTCTAGTATTTGGGGGAGAGGAGTGTGAGCTAGCTTACAGCTTTTTAGCCTCCGGCGCACACATTTTTGTCTTCGCTCAGGAAGGAGGGCTCCAGAGTCCAGAGCAAACTAATTTGTGCAGTAGCCAAATCGCTCGCTCACAACTTTAGTGCCAGTAGCTCACAAAGTAGAATTTTTGCTCACAAGACTCCACAGCCTAGAGGGAACATTGTAGAGCCACTGGCATCAGAGCTGTGGGCGAGCGGTTTGGCTACTGCATAGATTAGTTTGCTCTGCGGCCATCCTCCCTGAGCGAAGACAAAAATGTGTGAGCCGGAGGCAAAAAATCTGTGATCTAGCTCACATTAACTCAGCTTAGAGGGAACACTGCCCTGGAGCCTGAGCGAAGACCAAAATGTGTGAGCCGGAGGCTAAAGAACTGTGATCTAGCTCACACTGACTCAGCTTAGAGGGATCAGTGATATAGATCTACGGTGTGGCCTCATTTGGAATCCATGGTGGCTCTGGCTCTGTGGAAGGCCTATCCTGAAGAGGGGGGGGGGGCTCCTGCAAGGCCTGTTTGTCTGCCAGGCCTCTGGAGGGAGTGTGAACGTCAGGCCTCATTTAAGGGGGAGAGGGGGGGTGCTATTTCTTTGAGGGAGGGGGATACATCAGAATCAGCGCCCCTGTGGGAAGGACTAGAGATGTGAAGGCCCGGAAAAAAAACAGAAAAATTTGGGGGGGAAAACGTTTTTTCCAATTTTTTCCTGAAGCCTTTTTTGTTTTTCTTCCGAAAAAATGGAAAAATTGAAAAAAGAAAAAAAAATTGATTATGGAACGTTTTATTTTAACATGATGAATAAAATATTTTAAGACAAGGTGTTCAAACATTTTCCAAATAATTTAGGAGGTGCGATTGTCAGAAGAAAATAAAAAGGTTTCAGTTTTGTTTTTGCATGTGGGTGGGTATTCTGTTTGTAATAATTGTCTGGATCCACTATATTTTTAATAGGCTAGTTGTGATAATTTCATGCCAAGTAAAAATGTCCGTAGTCATATTTTATGTTCCTAAAGTAACAGAATGACTTTCAATCTAGAAAAGACAAAAGAAATGCTAGTGTAGCATTTTTTCCAATTTTTCCGAAAATTTTTGTTTTCCCCCGAAAAAAACTGGGGGGAAAACGGGGTTTTTCCAGAGCTTCAAAATTTCCGGAAATTTTACATCTCTAGGGAGGACTGTTGCAGCGACCAGTGACCCCTGCCCGAGGGAAGAAGGTTGCCGTACCTGTCTCGGAGGGTGCTGGGCCCCAGGTAGGGGTACTGGCTGTCCTTCAGTTTCCCCTTGATGAGCTGATCGAGGGTCTCGTGCAGCAACGGCTGGTGCTGTGTGTACACGTTTTCAACTCCCTGTTTCACAGAGAACATAAGAACATGAGAGAGAAGCTAGTGTTGAATCAGGCCAATGGCCCATCCAGTCCAACACTCTGTGTCACGCAGTGGCCAAAAACACCAGGTGCCCTCAGGAGGTCCAGCAGTGGGGCCAGAACTTCAGCTATTCAGAAATTCAGCTATAGTCAGGCCTCACCTGGAGTCCTGTGTCCACATTTTAGGAAGGACATTGACAAGCGCGAGCGTGTCCAGAGGAGGGCGACCAGGATGGTGAGAGGGTTGGAATCCAAGTCTTAGGAGGAAAGGCTAGAAGAGTTGGGTCTGTTTAGCTTGGGAAAGAGAGGCTTAGAGGGGACATGATTGCAGTCTTCAAGTATCTGAAGGGCTGTCATGTAGAAGATGGAGCAGATCTATCCTCTCTTGCTCCGGATTGCAAGACTAGATCTAATGGGTGGAAATTACAAGGGAGTCGATACCGGCTAAATATCAGGAGAAACTTCCTAACTGTAAGAGTGGTTGAGCGGTGGAACAGTCTGCCTCGGGAGGTGGTGGAGTCTCCTTCGCTGGACACTTTCAAGCGGAGGCTGGACGACCATCTTTTGAGTATGTTGTAGGTATGTAGGGCTCTCTTTCGGCTCTGCTCCTGCAGAGTGCAGGGGGTTGGACTAGATGACCTGCAAGATCCCTTCCAACTCTAACATTCTATGATTCTAACTCCAGAAGCCCTCCCACTGTTGCCCCCCCCCAAGCACCGAGAAGACAGAGCATCCCTTGCCCCAGACCGAGAGACCCTATCTATACCTTGTGGCTAATAGCCATCGATGGACCTCTGCTCCATATGCTTATCTAATTCCCTCTTGAAACTGTCCATGCTTGTAGCCGCTACCCCCTCCTGTGGCATTTAATTCCATGTGTTAATCGCTCTTTGGGTGAAGAAGGACTTCCTTTTATCTGTTCTAACCCGACCACTCAGCAATTTCATGGAGTGCCCACGAGTTCTTGTGTTGTGAGAAAGGGAGAAAAGGACTTCTTTCTCGACCTGCTCTATCCCATGCATAAGAACATAAGAGACGCCAATGTTCGATCAGGCCAAAGGCCCATCCAGTCCAACACTCTGTGTCACACAGTGGCCAAAAATACCAGGTGCCATCAGGAGGGGTCCAGCAGTGAGGCCAGGATACTAGAAGCCCCTCCCACTGTTGACCCCCACTGTTGACCCCCCCCCAAGCACTTATCAACCTCGATCATGTCACCCCTCAGTCGTCGTTTCTTCAAGCTAAAGAGCCCTAAGTGCTTTAACCTTTCCTCATAGGGAAAGTGTTCCAACCCTTTTATCATTCGAGTGGCCCTTTTCTGCACTTTTCCCAAAGCTATAATATCCTTTTTAAGGTGTGGTGACCAGAATTGCACACAGTATTCCAGATGAGGTCGCACCATTGATTTATATAGGGGCATTATGATATTGGCTGATCTGTTTTCAGTTCCCTTCCTAATAATCCCCAGCATAGCATTGGCCTTCTTTATTGCAGTCACACACTGTCTCGACATTTTCAGTGAGTTATCCACTACAACTCCAAGATCTCTCTCTTGATCAGTCTCTGCCAGTTCAGACCCCATCAACGTGTATTGATGGAGTCCGTTCGCGGGATGGGCAGGATATAAATATAATAAATAAATAAATAAATAATAAAAACACAGAAGGAAGCCGGTTCTAAGGTTAATAGCTGAGCTGGAATGAGCACACACACCCACACGTGCACAAACGGGCGAGCAAGCCAATGAGGCCACGCAACCAAGTGAGCTTGAAGTTCTCTTAGGCTGAGTTGGACCACTGGCTCAGCTGGCACGGTGCCCAGGGCCCACGATACTTTTAGGGGCCCATGAAAATGTTTTAATTTCTTTTAGAATCAGAAGGGGAAAAAATGAAATGTTTTAGGGCCCATGAAAATCCAATATATTTTGCCTAAAACAGGAAAAAAATAAAGTTGATGTATTTAAAGTTATATCAAAAATAATTTTAATATTGATAGTATTAGAAGAAGAGATTGGATTTATACCCTACCTTTCACTACCCAAGGGAGTCTGAGAGCGGCTTACAAACTCCTTTCCCTTCCCCTCCCCACAACAGACACCCTGTGAGGCAGGTGGGGCTGAGAGAGCTCTTGACAGAAACTGCTCTTTTTCAAGGACAGCTGTGCCAGGACTATGGCTTGCCCGAGGTCATCCAGCAGCTGCATGTGAAGGAGTGGGGAATCAAACCCGGTTCTCCCAGATTAGAGTCCGCGCACTTAACCACGGCACCAAACTGGCTCTCTATTATGGCGGGAAGGGCTCACGAAGGCGTAAGTACCTTGTTCCTACAAAGCTTTCAGGGCCCACAAACAGGCTTTAGGCTTTGAAAGTGCAATTATATTTGTCTCTTGGTGCAGCCAGCTGGGTGACCTTGGGTCAGTCACTGTTCTCTCGGAGCTCTCTCAGCCCCAGCCCTGACCTGCCTCACAGGGGGTGTCTGTTGTGGGGAGAGGAAGGGAAAGGAGTTTGTAAGCCGCTCTGAGACTCCTTTGGGTAGCAAAGAGTGGGGTATAAATCCAGCTCTTCTTCGCTTTCTCTTTCCAAGCACCAGTCGCAGAAGAATAACCAATGTGAGCCTAACTTAAAAGGTGGTTGTGAAAATTCCCGAAATCATGCGCACACAGCGCTTTGAATCCTTTAAAGTACTACAGCATGACTGTGCATTACTATCTAGAGCCAGTTTGGTGCACTGGTTAAGTGCGTGGACTCTAATCTGGGAGAACCGGGTTTGATTCCCCACTCCTCCACATGCAGCTGCTGGATGACCTTGGGCAAGCCACAGTTTTGATAAGAGCTGTTCTTGAAAAAGACAGTTCTCTCAAGGACAGTTCTGGAAAGAGCTCTCTCAGCCCCACCTACCTCACAGGGTGTCTGTTGGGAAGGGAAGGGAAAGGAGTTTGTAAGCCACTCTGAGTGAAGGGTGGGCTATAAATCCAATCTCTTCTTCTCTTCTTGTTCTTCTGTTTAGACAACAGAAGGAAAAGGCAGATGGATTTGTATCTAGCACGGGCAGTGAAAATCAATGTTCCTTGCTCTTGTGGGGAAAAGACCTAAAGTATTCACTGGCTAGAAACCTCAAGAATTTGTTATACCAACAGTCGTAAAATACAATTTTTCATATTCTTATGGAGGAAGGGTGCGGGGCCCACAAAGGCAAAAGTGTCTAGGGCCCACGAAAGACATAATGTGGCCCTGACTGGGATCTACTGAGTCAGTATCGTCTACTCAGCCTGGCAGGAGCTCCCCAGGCCCTCGGGCAGAGATGGGTCTGTCACATCACCGTCCCTTGAACGGGAGATGTCGGGGATTGAACCTGAGACACAGACGTCAAGCTGCCTTCTACTGAATCAGACCGCAGGTCCATCAAGGTCAATTCGGTCTACTCAGACGGGCACAAAATGGATTCGGCGGGAGGTGGCGCCAAGCTCAGCGAGCGAGGTCATTCATAACTCTAACAGTCATTCTTTGACATTTCAGGTAGAAGCTCCGTGGAGCAGAATGCCTTTTTAGAGTAACATATTGTTTTAAAATATATTTCCCCGCATACACACAGCTTGCTTTCGGTCACACAGGGAAGATCCTTGTGTTGTGACGGCAGCGGCTGCCGAAGCAACATTTGTAAATGTTAGAATTTCAACAGCCAATCCACATGCAAAAGAACCTCCTCAGGAAACAGGAAACCTCCTCAGGAGACAATCCGTATACAAAAGAACCTCCTTAGGAAAGCTCCTCCATTAGCATCTTCACAACCTGGGGAGCTGAGTTTAGTTAGCTGGGCTGAGGCAAGGAGTGGAGAGCACGTGGTGGGTTGCTGATAGAAGGTAGGGGATTTTTCTTTCTCCCTTTGCCTTCCTAGTTGCTGTGTGGGAGCTGAGAGACAGTTGGGTTCTTTGTAGCCTGCTAGAGAGTGGTTCTGTTTAAGTCTGTTCAAGCGGAGGCTGGACGACCATCTTTCGGTTATGCTGCAGGTATGTAGGGCTATCTTTCAGCTATGCTCCTGCAGAGTGCCGGGAATTGGACTAGATGACCTGCAAGGTCCCAGTTCCAACTCTGAACACTCTATGATTTTATAACTCCTGCAAGATAATGACTCAGCCCTACCCCTCCTTCCTGAGTAGATATAAATGACCTGCCTACCATTTTTCTTCTCACCTTGACACAGAGAGTACTCCATCTTTCTGTGTGATACCTCTGAGGATGCCAGTCACAGCTGCTGGCGAAACGTCAGGTCCTACAATGCCAAGACCACGGCCACACAACTCGGAAAACCTTCAACAGCTAATTTGTAAATGTTGCTGGACAAGAGAACACTTTGTGGACACCAGGAATGGTGTCCGAGGGCGCCACGTTGGGGAACTCTGAACTACATAGTGCCACATCCTTATTCCTTTCTCCAAATCCCCCCTCGAACCCCCGGCCTTTCCGGTTAAGCCTTTCGCTTTCCCCTTTGGGCCTCATCCTCAACCGGAGCAGATCCGAGTAAGTGCATCTGCGTTCGTTCCGACTCATCCTCCGTTCCCTCCCTCGGTAAAAGTTGCACGGCAAGGGCAGCACACGGGGCCAGATGTCACCACGTCGATCGGCCGTCGTACCAACCTTCAGCCCTTTGAGGAACTGCTTGGTGATGGCCACGGCATCCTTAGGACTGAAGAGGTCACTCGCTCGAACTCGCTTCCCTCCATATTCGATAACAGCCGACACCAGCTGTCCCGAGAGAGAAGAAAACACACAGCCTGGTCAAAGTCAGAAAATCACAGGGGAGGACTTCTTGGATCAGCACTCATTAAAACCTTGGCCACCCATCGGGACGGTACTCGTTTAAAACGCTCCTCCCCCCGCTCCTCCCACTAAACTGAACTAAATTAAAACAAACAGGAGGAAGACTCTAACGGCAGCAAAAGAAGCAATGCAAATAGTACAAATCATGCAGATTCTAATTTGTATTAATGCAACAATATTGAATCCAATCCATTGTACACTTATGTTTTACAGAAAATAAGGACGTCACAAGATGAAATGAAGACGTCAGCAGATGAAACTGGACGAACTCCCCCGGAGTTAACATTCGTTTCGAGATGTCTTTTTCATACATAAGACCTCAGCTGCGCATCCACATGATCACGAATCTTCCAAATTTGACTTTCCTTTGTTCCTATACGTTTTGAAGTTACTCACAAACAGCTCTTAGCCATGATGACGTCTTCATTTCATCTTGTGACGTCCTTATTTTCTGTAAAACATAAGTGTACAACGGATTGGGTTCAATATTGTTGCACTAATACAAATTAGAATTTGCATGATTTGCACTATTTGCAGTAGTTCTATTGTGTTGGTTTATGTCATACTGCAACCCCTCTCATTTGTTGTGAGCAAAAGAAACAATAGCAGCTTTAGCAATGATTTTTTAAAAAGACACTGTTTGAGGTGATACAAGCCGCACCCAGAAAAGAGAAGGTGCCAACCTCAGTGTGGAACGTAACTCTGCCACCAACATGGCCTTCGAGAAGGTCCTACTCCTAGACCTCATCCTGCTGGAAGTGAGCAATACCCATAAAAAGGCCTCTTATATCTAATAGTCAAATGTGGCCTACTGTGCGGATACTTAAATCCGTGGATCAGGGCACAGTGATTTAAAAGAGACTCTTCTGCAAATTTGGTGGACAAGATTTGCAGAAAAAATCTAAAAAAAATGTATATTGAGGAGGGTTAAATCCCCTCCCCCCAAATTAAGAGTGTCTGTCTGCACATACACAGACAACAGATTTACCTTCTTTGTCTTGGATGAGTCTGGGAGTCACTCCGGTCCCACTGATGAGGGGGGCGGTTTGGAAGAGAGCCATGCCTTGGCTCAGTGGGCAAGTGGGGGGGGGGATGGGATTCCATCCATGCAAGTCTTGGGGGGCCCCACCCCGGTACAGATACACCCTGCATTTTAATACTTTAAAGGACAATCAGGGGTATGGAGACTGAGTCCTACGAGGAAAGGCTGAGGGCCTTGGGAATGTATCGTTTGGAGAAGAGGAGACTGAGGGGGACATGATTGCTCTCTTTAAATATCTGAAAGGCTGTCATTTGGAGGAGGGCAAGAAGCCGTTCCAGTTGGCAGCAGAGGACAGGACCCGAAGCAGCGGGTTTAAATTCCATGTAGAAAGGTACTGGCTGGATATTAAAGGTAAAGGTAAAGGTTCCCTTGCTCGAAAGCCAGTCGAATCCGACTCTAGGGTTGCGGTGCTCATCTCCGTTTCAAAGCCGAAGAGCCAGCGCTGTCCGAAGACGTTTCCGTGGTCATGTGGCCGGCATGACTAAACACCAAGGTGCACGGAACGCTGTTCCCTTCCCACCAAAGTGGTCCCTATTTATCTATTTGCAATGTCTTGCTTTCGAACTGCTAGGTTGGTAGGAGCTGGAATTAGAGACGGGAGCTCACTCCGTCATGCGGCACACTCGGGTCTCGAACTGCTGAACTACCGACCTTCCACAGCCTGCAGTTCAGCCTCTTAACCACTTGAGCCACCGCAGCTCCGGCTGGATATTAGGAAACACTTTTTCACGGTCACAGAGTGGTTCAAAGGTTGGAATCAGCTGCCCAGGTAGGTGGAATTAGCTCCCCTTCAGTGGCAGCTTTCAAGAAGAGGCTGGAGGAATATTTGTCAGGGATACTTTAGGCCGGTCCTGCATTGGGCAGGGGGTCGGATTAGACTGTCTGTATGGCCCCTTCCAGCTCTAGGACTCAAGGATTTATGCATTCTCTTGACTGTTTTTGCATCCACAGTCACTAACAGCAAACCCTCCTCCCACAATAAACCTCGCCCCACAGGAAAACAAGGGACAATTTAAAGGCTGCCACCGGAACAGTTGTCTTCTGATTTGACAACAGCTGCTAGAGATTCTGCCGCACGCAGGGCAGTTTGGTTGTCTTCGTCTCTAAGTAACCAGGATGATTTTGCTTCTGGGGAGAGGAAGTCCTGATCAAATAAAGGGGGAGATCAGTTCGTCTCTTGGAGTGGAACATTTCAGACAGTCGAGCAAAATAGGATCCGCAGAGTCGATTTCACTGCTGCCGCAATGACAGAGTCGAGTCTCTTCCAAAGAGGAGGCGTGCCCCAGAAGAATGTGGAAGTTCACTAGCCCAAGTGCGCAATAAAATTAACGCTCAGAGACCAGCCGTTCTCACGCCTGCCTCTTTGTTTTTAGCTCTGCAACTTCCCCCCTAAGCCGGGGAGCCTCTGCCCCCGAGGAACCCTCCACCACGCACCTTGCGGTGTCTCTCGGACACTCCCCTGGTCTTCAGGTCCGCCATGAGGGTGGGGAGGCTGTTGCTGCTGTGCCTCTCGTAGTGCAGGGCGTAGAGCATCACCAGCCGGGTGGCGTCGAGCTCGGTCACTTTGGGGTTCTGCAAGAGGCGCCGCACGTTCTGCAGGGGGACAGAGAGAGCTCTCACTCAGGGGGGCAGGCAAGCGCCGCCAGTTTGCAAACCTGAATCTTGACAAAGGGAAATCACCTTCCCTCGGGTACAGCTATTAAGCAAGTTCACTTCTGGGACGTACGTTCTGCCAAGCAGTTTTCTGGGTCTTTCGGAACATTTCTCTCGGCGGAAAATGAATCGCGAAAGGAAGACTCGTAAAAATACAAACCTTCACAAGCAGAGAGAAGAAGAGATTGGATTTATCCCCCGCCCTTCACTTACCGAAGGAGTCTCAGAGCAGCTGACAATCGCCTTCCCCTCCCCACAACAGGCACCCTGTGAGGTAGGTGGGGCTGAGAGAGCTCTTGAGAGGACTGCTCCTGAAAGAACAGCTCTGAGAGAACTTGCGGCTGACCCAAGGTCACACCAGCAGCTGTATATGGAAGGGTGGGGAATTAAACCCGGTTCTCCCAGATTACAGTCCACACACCTAACCACTACACCAAACATGCATGGTCCGTATGCTCTGAGAGTGTCATGATTTCAGGTCACAGGAGAGCCTTCATATGGGATCCAAGAAATGTTGGATGGGAATGCAGAGAGAGTGCCCCCCACTAAGACCCTGGACCCACTGCTGGACCTCCTGATGGCCCCTGGTATTTTGGGCCACTGTGTGACACAGAGTGCTGGACTGGATGGGCCACTGGCCTGATCCAACATTGGCTTCTCTTATGTTCTTATAGATAGGAACTCTCGGTCTGGGGCAAGGGATGCTCTGTATCCTTGGTGCTTGGGGGGGGTGTCAAAAGTGGGAGGGGGCTTCTAGTGTCCTGGCCCCACTGCTGGACCTCCATCCTGATGGCACCTGGTATTTCTGGTCACTGTGTGACACAGAGTGTTGGACTGGATGGGCCATTGGCCTGACCCAACATTGGCTTCCCTTATGTTCTTATGTTCTTAAGGCAACTACAGGGAAAGGTCCTGGACCAAAAACGAATTCCATCTGCAGTAGTAGGCCAGACAGGGAAACGCAATATCGTTGGTCTCCTACATAAGTTTGATCACATGACACTGCCTTATACTGAGAGCCAGTTAAGAGCGACGGACTCTAATCCAGTGAACCGGGTTCAGTTCCACAGTCCTCCACGTGAAGCTAGCTGGGTGACCTTGGGTCAGTCACAGCACTTTCAGAGCTCTCTCAGGCCCCCAAAATAAGTCTAGCTCGCCACCTAGTGGTGCATAAAGCAAAAAGAGTGAGAACTTGAGGCTGCCAGACAATCCAAGGATCTCCTGGCTATACCACACACAATGCCACACAATAATAATGATTATTATGCTTAATACTAAAGCAGGCTGTTGGTCCATCAAGTTCAGGATTGCCTACTCAGACTGGCAGCCATTCTCCAGGGTCTCAGGCGGAGGTCTTTCCCATCACCTCCTGCCTGGTGCTTTCAACAGGAGATGGCGGGGATTGAACCTGGGACCTTCTGCATGCCAAGCAGAGGCTCTTCCACTGAGCCACGGCCCCTCTTTGCAGCTCTCCAGGGTCTCAGGTGGAGGTCTTTCACATCACCTCCTGCCTGGTCCTTTTAACTGGAGATGCCGGGGACTGAACCTGGGACCTCCTGCATGCCAAGCAGAGGCTCTTCCACTGAGCCAAAGCCCCCTTTTAGGGTCTCAGGCGGAGGTCTTTCCCGTCACCTCCTGCCTGGTCCTTTCAATTGGAGATGCCGGGGACTGAACCTGGGACCTCCTGCATGCCAAGCAGATGCTCTGTCACTGAGCCGCAGCTCCTCTTTACAGCTCTCCAGGGTCTCAGGCGGAGGACTTCCACATCACCTGCCACCTGGTGCTTTCAACTGGAGATGGCGGGGATCGAACCTGGGACCTCCTGCACGCCAAGCAGATGCTCTACCATTCAACACGCAAAGCTGCCTTCTAGTGAATCAGACCTACTGAATATTGTCTATTCAGACTGGCCGCCGCTGTCGAGGGTTTCAGGCTGAGGTCTTTCACATCACCTCTTAGCTGATGCTTTTAACCAGAGGTGCCGGGGACTGAACCTGGGACGCTGTGCATACCAAGCAGATGCGGTACTGCTCAGCCACAACCCCCCACCCCCACCCCAAAGGATCCCTAGAGGGGGGTGCAGTTCAAAGCAGAGTGAGATAGATCAATTTACCGACTCCATCTAAAACATCGCCACCCCGTGAGGATGACAATAAAGCTCAAAGTCTGGAAACGGAGCCCCCCGCTAACTTCGATGCAAGAGAATGAAACACAGGCTTAAGTCTCTCCCTGGGGAAATCCACCCGTGTTAAAACGCTCAACTTTGATCGGATTGTGCACAGACCTTGGAACTGTCCCCCAAAACATGAGCACGCAGATGATGGAGCATTTTTTAGGGATCTCTGAGAAACAGGGACATGAGGCCTCCTCATTGTTGGGCCAGGACCACTAGCACTGACCACCCTGGTATTATCTGGACCCTTCCTCATTTGGTGTCGTGGTTAAGTGCGCGGACTCTAATCTGGGAGAACCGGGTTTGATTCCCCCACTCCTCCACTTGCACCTGCTGGATGACCTTGGGAAAGCCATAGTTCTGACAAGAGCTGTTCTTGAAAAAAGGGCAGTTTCCGTCAGAGCTCTCTCAGCCCCACCTGCCTCACAGGCACTGTTCCCTCTAACCTGAGTTAGTGTGAGCGAGCTCACAGTTTGTTAGCCTCCAGCTCACACATTTTTGTCTTAGCTCAGGAAGGACGGCTCCAGAGCAAACTGATTTATGCAGAGCAAACTGATTTATGCAGTAACCAAATCACTTGCTCACAACTTTAATGTCAGGAGCTCAGAAAGTAGAATTTTTGCTCAGAGGACTCCACAGCTTAGAGGGAACATTATGTCACAGGGTGTCTCTTGTGGGGAGGGGAAGGGAAAGGAGTCTGTAAACCGCTCTGAGACACCTTCGGGTAGTGAAGGGCCGGGTATAAATCCAATCTCTTCTTCTTCTTCCTGGGGTGTCTCTGCACTGTCGTCTGTCAGTGAGTCCCCCTGCCCCTACACCCCTGAGCCTCTTGTTTTCCAAAACTATATCCGGAGGAGGAGGAGGGGGAGGGTGTCTGAACAGGGTGGGCTTCCAGTGGTCAGGACGAGGCCTAGACACAAACCTCCTGTCTCTTCTCTCCACGGCACCTTCCCAGATTTTGGCTCCCTGCCCCTCTAGCACTCCAGAGACCCCCCCCATACCCCGCCCCAAGCTCCCCCTTAAAAGGGCCGCATTGTTCCCCGCAGAGAGCCACGATTCATCCCGCCTCATGCGGTGCCCCAGACCAGGGTCAATTTCTGAAGTCTACGAACTATGAATAGAAGTTCGATGAGTGCTCCGGCGTCACACAGAGGACCCTTGTGGAAAGCTTTCCGCCGCGTTCTCCCACCAGAGAGCCTTTATTTAAATGCCGCGCTTCTCTATTAAATCCGCAAACGGGAAGGGTTCGGGTCCGGATGAGAACGTTTCCCCACAGCGGACGGCGGGGCTTTGAGCTTTCCGAGGTCAGAACACAACAGTCAAGTGTCCGAAATTCAGACATCTTGCTTAATTGAAATGGCTCTCTGGATTTGTGGGAAAGCCACCCCTCCCCACAATGAAACACCACATTTAAAAGAATTATGAGCTGGGGGGGGGGGGTTTGAATTCCAGCCCATAAGAAGCTGGATCCAGTGTAAATCCACTGATTTCAATTATATGACACACGTGAACACATGAAGCTGCCTTATACCGAATCACATCCTCGATCCATCAAAGACAGTATCGTCTGCTCAGGCTGGAAGCGAATCTACGAGGGTCTCAGGCAGAGGTCTTTCATATCCCCTCCTGCCTGGTTCTTTTTAACTGGAGATGCTACCTGGGATTGAACCTATTCACACCTTCAAAACACTTGAAGGAGCCAGTTTGGTGTAGTGGTTAAGTGCGCGGACTCTAATCTGGGAGAACCGGGTTTGATTCCCCCCTCCTCCTCCTCTTGCACCTGGCTGGATGACCTTGGGCAAGCCATAGTTCTGACAAGAGCTGTCCTTGAAAAAGAGCAGTTTCTGTCAGAGCTCTCTCAGCCCCACCTACCTCACAGGGTGTCTGTTGTGGGGAGGGGAAGGGAGAGGAGTTTGTGAGCCCCTCTGAGACACCTTCGGGTAGTGAAGGGCGGGGGATAAATCCAATCTCCTTCTTCTTCTTCTTCTCTGAAGATACCTTATCCTGAATCAAACCGTCAGTCCATCAAGGTCAGTATTGTCTTCTCTGACTGACAGCGGCTCTCCAGGGTCTCAGGCAGTAGTCTTTCCCACCACCTACTAACAGGTCCTTCTAACTGGAGATGCTTCTGGAGATTGAACCTGGGACCTTCTGCAGGCCAAGCAGATGCTCTTCCACTGAGCCACAGCCCCTCTTTACAGCTCTCCGGGGTCTCAGGTGGAGGACTTTCACATCCCCTCCTGCCTGGTCCGTTTTAGCTGGAGATGCTGCCAGGGATTGAACCTGGGACCTTCTGCAGGCAAAGCAAAGGCTCTGCCACTGAGCCACGGGCACTCTTTACAGCTCTCCAGGGTCTCAGGTGGAGGTCTTTCATATCACCTCCTGCCTGGTCCTTTTTAACTGGAGATGCTGCCAGGGATTGAACCTGGGACCTTCTGCATGCCAAGCAGAGGCTCTGCCACTGAGCCACAGCCCCTCTTTACAGCTCTCCAGGGTCTCAGGTGGAGGTCTTTCCCATCACCTCCTGCGTGGTCCTTTTAACTGGAGGTGCCGGGGATTGAACCTGGGACCTCCTGCATGCCGAGCAGAGACTCTACCGATGACCCACAGCCCCGCACCAAAACATGAAGCTGCCTTCTACTGAATCAGACTACTGGTCCATCAAGGTCAGTGTTGTCCACTCAGACTGGCAGCTGCTCTCCAGGGTATCCAGCAGAGAAAGGTTGCATCAGATTGAGCTATATGAGAGTCTAACAAACAGACAACAAAGCAGCCTCAGACGAACGGGGCTTCAGATCCTCTCTAACCAACGATCCCTTTCAGCAGAGGCAGTGGGCACACTTAGACGGAAGCACCAGCCCACGTCAGCAGCGCATGAACTGCAGCTGCATGAACGGCTATCGAACGCAGAGCCTGATGTTCTTGTTGCGCGAAGGACGTTGCTCCCGGGGCCGGCTACCTGCAGAGCACTGGAGTGATCGTTCTGGCAAGCCAGCTCCTGCTCCACCTCAGACACCTCCAGAAGGTTCCTCTCGCTGACCAGCCTGGAAAGCTCCCCTACCACAGTGACGTGCTTCGAGACCGTGCCAGACATCTTCTTGAACTGCGGGTAGTTCTCCACAAAGGCCTGAAATGGGAAAGGGAGAAGGAGGAGTCATCACAGGTTTCAACAGAGCAGGAAGCAGAACCTCAGAAGAGCCCTGCTGGGTCAGACCAGTGAGGGTCCATCGAGTCCAGCCTCCTGTCTCAATCAGGGGCCAACCGGTTCCTCTGGAGGGCCAACAACAGGGCAGAGAGGCCGAGGCCTTCCCCTGAGGAGAACCTCAGAAGAGCTCTGCTGGGTCAGACCGGTGAGGGTCCATCCAGTCCAGCATCCTGTCTCACCCAGTGGCCCCAACCAGGTCCTCTGGAGGGCCAACAACAGGGCATGGAGGCTGAGGTCTTCCCCTGAGAAGAGCATCAGAAGAGCCCTGCTGGGTCAGACCAGTGAGGGTCCATCCAGTCTAGCATCCTGTCTCACTCAGTGGCCAACCAGGTCCTCTGGAGGGCCAACAGCAGGGCACGGAGGCCGAGGCCTTCCCCTGAGAAGAACATCAGAGGACCTCTGCTGGGTCAGACCAGTGAAGGTCCATCTAGTCCAGCCTCCTGTCTCACACAGAGACCAACCAGTTCCTCTGGAAATCCAAACAACAGGACAGAGAGGCCGAGGCCTTCCCCTGAGAAGAACACTAGAAGAGCCCTGCTGGGTCAGACCAGTGAGGGTCCATCCAGTCCAGCCTCCTGTCTCACACAGTGGCCAACCAGTTCCTCTGGAGGGCCAGCAACAGGGCAGGGAGGCCGAGGCCTTTCCCCTGAGAAGAACACCAGAAGAGCCCTGTTGGGTCAAACCAGTGGCCAACCAGTTCCTCTGGAGGGCCAGCAACAGGGCAGAGAGGCAGAGTCCTTCCCCTGATGTTGCCTCCTGGCTCTGGGATTCAGAGTTTGACTGCCCCTGAATGTGGAGGTTCCCCTCAGTTACCAGCCCTTGAAGTGCTTCTGGTATTGCAAAAAATACTAAAAAATAATGTACCATTTGTACCAGAACATTTTTTACTGAATACGTTTCCAGAAAAATATAAATAACAGGACTCTTATTCTACACATAGTTACGGCCGCTAGAATACTGTATGCGAGTTATTGGAGAAGAGAGGAGATACCAACAAAAGAAGAACTAATTAAAAATTACTGAAAGTGGCTGAAATGGATAAATTAACTTTCATCTTGAAAGGACATAGAGAGGACAAACTTGAAGAAACATGGTCAAGACTTTATCGCCAGTCTGAAGAACTGAATCATTGAAATATTATAACCAAACTAGAGCTTAATAAGAACACTACATTAAATATTGTACAAAGTTTGGACAGCATCGTATGGCACAGAAACACGTTTTACGATTTGAGATGTATGGACAACAAATTCTTTACTCAGAGTATGAAGGGATGCTCGCATTTTCTGTTTGTGTTTCGTATGATTTGTGTTTGTTTGTATGTTGTGTGTGTTTAATAAAATAAAATTTATACCCAAAGCGTTTCTGGCACAGTAGGTGTCCCTTGAACTCTGCTGTCTGGCGCACACAGGCCCCTGGGCTGAACGCACAAGGCAGGGTCGCCATCCTCCAGGCGGTGGGGCCTGAATGTCTCCCGGAATTACAACTGAGCTCCAGACTCTGACAATCAGTTCCCCTGGAGAACACGGAGGCTTTGGAGGGCGGACTGGACTCTGTGGCATTAGAGTTTGGTGTCGTGGTTAAGAGCCAGTTTGGTGTCGTGGTTAAGTCCGTGAACTCTAACCTGGGACAACTTCAGCCCTTGGAATTTGGGTGACATTAGTGGTTTTAAGTTGCTATGTGAACCTTAAGGGAGTTATGAGATAGTTGTGAATGGTTGTGTGAGTGTATATGAATATTGTTGTAGATCACCGAAATGATTGCATCTTAATTTTCTTGTACTATGTACAATTTTTTGTTGTTGTTTTGTTGTTGTTTTTTGTACTATGTACAATGACAATAAAGTATATTATTATTATTATTCCCCACTTCTCCTCCACTCGCACCTGGCTGGGTGACCTTGGGCAAGCCATAGTTCTGATAAGAGCTGTCCTTGAAAAAGAGCCGTTTCTGTCAAGAGCTCTCTCAGCCCCACCTGCCTCACAGGGTGTAGGTTGTGGGGAGGGGAAGGGAAAGGAGTCTGTGAGCCGCTCTGAGACTCCTTTGGGCAGTGAAGGGCCATGGGGTATAAATCCAATCTCTTCTCTTTTTCTTCTGGTCTATCCACTCTTCTACTGATGCTGTTCCAGTTTGGTGTAGCGGTTCAGTGCGCGGACTCTAACCTGGGAGAACCGGGTTTGATTCCCCACTCCTCCTCCACTTGCACCTGGCTGGATGACCTTGGGCAAGCCGTAGTTCTGATAAGAGCTGTCCTTGAAAAAGAGCCGTTCCTGTCAGAGCTCTCTCAGCCCCACCTCCTTCCCAGGGTGTCTGTTGTCTAATCTGGGAGAACCGGGTTTGAGTCCCCACTCCCCCACTCGCACCTGGCTGGATGACCTTGGGCAAGCC